TATGAACAGATATGCGATTACAAGTTACTTTTGCAGTACATACTAAAATTTTTCGTCACTACCTAAACGGATAGGTAGGTAAATAATAGATATATTGTACAGTAAGTCACAGATGATGTGTCCTTTAATAATATATTATTGTACTTATGATTCGACGCAGCGTAGCGAAAGCAAGGATTAAGGCTAAATTGAGTTGAAATGGCTAAGTTATTCTATTTATTAAAAAATAAAGATGTGTAATATTGATACGGTCTCTATAAAATGTTTGTATTTAACTAATTAGGTAACAATTTATGACAAAGGTGTTGGATAGATACTTCCACATACAGGTACTAATAAATTAACCGACGTTTTACAATAGATCTCACAGGTAAAAGAACTGCGAGATTTGCATTTTTTTAGATGTTATGTTTTTGATAGAATGATTTACTCTAGTAATCAAATCAAACACTTTATTGCGAACTTGGGTTAGTACATACATTTAGTACTAATTAAGTTTGAATTAACAAAAATGAATTATAAACTTATATCTTCAAACACGTGGTATTGTGTCTAATGCAAAACCAGCTATGTGCTGCTAAAGGCGCTAAAAGTGTAACTTTCAGAATATTACAAAATACTCTATGTGCTTATATGCACATATCGTTTTTTTACATCCATTTTTGTAACAAAAATACATAGGGCATTTTGTTATTTTTGGGTCTAGTAGACATATCACAAAATCGGTTATTTTGGAATATTTGGCTTACTGAGTATTATTAAATTATGTAAAAAACTCATTTTCGCAAAAAAAATGTTTGTCGGTTTTTGCAGGCGCAGCGACCTTATGCAAGAATTAAAATTAACATAATCATTTATAATTGCATCGGATGTTAAAAAATAAGTAAAGAGTCATAAAGACTCGACTTACAAAATAACCCCTCTTATTTATTCTATATTTTACTCCTTACACGTCACGAATGTCCGCAACATTACCTCTTCATTAACTTATGAGTACAGTAGCACTGTTTCTAGTTGCATATTTTTTTAAGCTTAATAAATTACAAAAAAAGGCCAATTAAATAAGAATGGCAGTCGAAATGGGGCGTTGAAAGGCAAGATATGTTAATAATTGAGTTACCAGTCTCTAATTTTGGATGGATACCGACCCCATACAAATTATTATTACCTATAAGCTAAAATGTTGCTTAAAATATTAAAGTATATTAAAACAAAATTTATACAAACGATTATAAGATATTAAATATGGCCACGAAATTAAATGTATATAGTTCGTGAAAAAATAAATGTTAGTTAATATAATTTCATATGATGACAAATAAAAAAATAAATGCACACATGCATGGCGAGAACATATGATTTATACAATGCAAAAAAAATATTTACATCAATAGATAAAAATAATTAATTATAATATTACATCTTTAATTATTTTTTAAGCAAAAATTTCCTAAAGAACAACGCCCTCCTTTAAAAACTCAAAGTCACCATGGCAAATGTAAAATTAAATGAAAAAGTATTAAAACTTACATACCATTTTCATATTATAGAGTGAAGCCTCTTTTAAGTTTCTTTTACATCTATCTGTTCTTAATTATTAATTAAATCTGATATTAATTATTAATAATATCGTAACTGATAAATGCTAAAAATGATTAAACCAATAAAACATTGTCTATAGGGAATATGGGTGATTTTTTTATTTTTTATACCATAGCTTACATCATTACATAATGGTAGAAAAATATCCAGCCTACAAAAACAAAAAATTATATCTTTTTATAAATATCATACCCATAGGAATAGTTTAAACGCCCGCCATTTCGCGCGCTTGGCGTGAAGTCAAAGTATGTATACATACACATTCACAGACACGACACGAGTTTTGTTTAAGCAATTTGTAGCGACAAAATGGCTCTGTTTTGATATACTCTGACGTCATATTCGGTCTGACCAATGGCGTCGCGTTTCAATTATTTTGAATGTCCCATCTATATTTGCACTTTGTAAATTATCCTCTTAATCAAAAAGAAATTACATTAAAATATATTGATATAGGCTTAATTAAAAACTAATAAAGATTATATAAAAAAATATTTCACCTTTATTTAAATCATACGCATATTCCCTATTGTCGAGACCATAAATACGTTTTAGACGGAAAATATTACTTCACGAAATATTAGATATATTAAAAAATTAATAAAAAACGATGTTCAATTCGAGGTCTTCTGTTTACTATCACATTACTTAAAAAAACCACTTGTATAAACTGAATCGCAACGATACATTTTTTTGTATCTTTTGTTAGAAAAACATTTTCAGAGTTGCCATGTGTGAAAAAGCGAAAAGAAATGTCCAAATATATTTTTATCAGTATAGCTGTAAAGATTTGAGTAAAAAAATATTCAGTTCTTTAGCAGCAAAGTTAGTTTATGGGAAAATTACATTTTATTTTAGACCATACGATTTCCATGAAGTTGATTTATGGACTTACAGCTAACTTATGTCATATTATCTGATATGACAATAGGGAAAAGTCCTATTTTATTAAGATATAGTAAAAGTGGAGTTAATTTTTACTCTCTACTCAAACGTTCATAGTCTTAAAATTTATGCTTTTCGCCATTATTTATTCTAATAAAGGACCGCTATAAAATAGCTATTTAATCCTATACCCCATAAAGCCTAAAGGATAAAAGTGTAATTAATGATGACTATACTTCGTCATTTATTTCGACGATGATTATGTTTACTATCGCCGCGTTTTCATACAAACATTAAAACTGACATTCGTTTGTATTACCATTATCATTTGCCTCGTGCGGGAGTTGAACCTGTGACCGCTAGCTTAAGCTTAAGATAGATATGCTACTACTGTGCCTGATAATTGGCAGACAGTCACGTTCCACATTAAACGCCTTCAATTTAAATATGGAGCTATATTTTCATGAATCGTAATTTATAAACGAATCATAACATTTATTTGTGATTTTGTTATTTAAAAAAATACAAAAAGTTTCGTTTTATTTCATCTAAGCAAAAAGGTTATAATAATTAATAGTTCTTTTTAAATAATGGACTTTCATTTTGCTAACATTACGAATTTCTTCTTAAATACGAGTACGAGTACGAAATATTTACATAAAAATAATATATATCGTGATCACGCCAGTATTTAAAGACCACCTGTCTGTCTGTCATTTACTGTTTGCTAATATGAAGATTTGACTATTAATTTATTAGCTTTAATACATATATATGCTTTAAAAGGTACTAAATAATCCATTTAATAGCTTTCATCCATTTTGTGCAAAGCATATTGCGAAATACGAAATATAAACATATATTATGTAAAACCGAAGTAAAACATAGATGACGCGACTACATTTGAGTACAATTTTGAATTTTGAACGATTTTAAAACGATAAACATTTTTAAATCAAATAACATTTAAAATCTTCTAACTTAGCTATGATTACACTTAGTTAACAACCTTTTAGGGGTTGAATTTAAAAAAATCATTTCTTAGCGAATACCTACACGCTATAAAAAACTGCCATGTTTATATTTTCTAAAATTTAAATTCATTTTTTCAATTTTTCATTGAATTTACAATCAAGTAGTGAATAGTATTTCGCTATATAGATAAAATATAGTATGTGCTAATTGCGCCGCCACTGATGAAAATTCGCAGTGAAACCTCCCACTGTATTAAAAAGGGGTCTAATTTGATTTTGTAGCTTAATTATTTATGCTGAAATTGCAACAAAAGCTATTCAAAATATCTATACATATAATACAATTATAATGGTTTCAAAATTGTAGACTTTATATTTTTTTGGGAAAAATCTATAATACAATAAATTTTTAAAATCTATTAATATTGTAGTTTCATCTTAATTTAATTGTACTTATTTTTTTACCTTATGTGAAAATTGATGGTTTGTTTGACGGTGGTTTACAGATAATATATCTGCATGTAGGAGGGATTATTATATAGTTTTACATATATTTTGTATGTATCTATCAGATATTAATTATATATACATTTAATTATAATTCATAATAAGTATATAAGGGAAAGCAATAAGTGTTAAGGGATGTTATATACAGGTTGAAGATTTTGTTTTTTCAACCAAATTAGGAGCATTTTTTACATATTTTGGAACATTGTTATACACACACTTAAAAAATCATCCTGTACAATAAAGTTTTATATGTAAAGATAGAATTATCAACATGTCATAATGAAGTTACTGTCGGAGAAACATAGGATCTGATTTGAAACAAAATAATTATTTATGGCAAATATTTGTACTTGTTGGTGAAGATTATTGATAGGTAGCACGGACAGCTACTGTAATTAATGCCTAGTTTTAAAATTGGATTTACATGTTTTTCACACGTATATCATACAGTTAAAAATACCACCTCAAAATATATAGAAACTTATATTATTTACACTTATTGCTTCCATCTTGAACAAAATAAAAAACAATTCACAAAAATAATTCAAAGATTATAGTAAAAAATATTTGCAACATTTAATAAATGATAAAGACAATTCAAATGAGAACACTAAAAGTCCCATTCTACTAAAAAAAGTGCAAATATTTCTGAATCAAATGATCGTAGTATTCCCCTAAATACCAAACAATCGTATTTTGCAACAAACAACCTTTTATAGTTACTGAAGTTGGCGAGTAAAACGACGCAATATTTAAAATTTTCTAAAAACTCATTTCTTAATATTATATCAATCTCTCTAATACCTTTCTATCTATTCCCACCAATAAAATATTTACGTTATTTCAAACTGACATTAAAAACAAAGTAATAAAATCGATTTTCTTACAAAAAAGTAATTGCCCAAGCTCGCTTTAATCCCCACCTCCAAATACCTAAAAAGGGACTTTACAAGTTAACCAGTAATAAAAACAAAGCAAGGTGCCGGCTCACCGTCACAGCAGTATGAGCGGCAGGTCATCCCCCGGTCAGCAGGCCAGCTCGTGTATGAGCAGCGGCGTGGTGTCGGGCGTGGAGGGCGCGCGCGCCGCCGGCTGCTGCGCCTCGATGCGCTCCAGCACGCATGACGCCGACAGCCGCGCCTCCGCGTCGTGGTCCCAGCACTCTTCCATCGTGTCGCAGAGCACCGAGAGACCCTGGAAACGTGGATATCGTTTTTTTGGTTATCCTAAGCAGGGCTGCCAGTACAGTAGACAACTTATTTTATACCGCTGGGTCACTCAATTTATACCAAATCAAATTTTATTATACAAATTAACAAAACTGTTGAGAAATAGTCCTACTAATATTATAAACGCGAAAGTTTGTAAGAATCTATCTATGGATGTATGTTTGTTACTCTTTCACGCCAGAACGGCTGAACGGATTTGGATGAAATTTAGCACAGAGATAGATTATATTCTGGAATAAGACATAGGCTAATTTTTATCCCGGAAAAATATACGGTTCCCGAGGGATAGATTTGTTTTTGTTTTAGTAACCTATAATGAAATATACATAAAATAATCATATTTTACAATTTTCGTATCCAAATATACGAAGCCCTGATTTTAAGGGTGGCATATATTATATGAGTATAGTGGTAGCCCAGTGGTAACGTGCTCGCTTGGGAAAACGAGTGAAACGGGTTCAAATCTCAAATTTCACACGTCTGACATTTTCACGTGCGAATCATTTTCAACATGATTACGACTTGTTCTACGGTGAAAAAAACACCGTAAGGAAACCTTCAAGGCCCGAGAGAACCTAGCAAGTTTTCGAAAGACATGCAAGGTCCATTATAGCCTGATCCCCTTCGTATTGAAAGAAGAACTGTGCCCAACAGTAGGACATTAGAAAGGACTTAATACATTATATGAGCTTGTAAAGTTAAATAACGCGGAAATCCACCTTTCGGCTTCATCAGAGCTTAAGTATAAGGCCCAAAAAACTCTAAATCTCGAAACTCTAAAAATGTAATTGAGGGGGCTTACCAATAACCATTAAAGAGAAATTGTGACTGTATCAATAAGACCAAATCGATATAATCAAAATATTGTGTTGCCATCCAGATATTAAAGATGATAAATAAAAGTAAGTCAAGCGTAAGTTTTAAATAATTTAAGCGTAACTTTTCAATACAATAATGAATGAAATAAATATTTCAATATTTTTGGGAAGTGGCAAATGAAAAAAAAACAATAAAAGTATGTAGGTTAAATATATGAGTACTAAAACGCAGTCTCGAAACCAGACTAGTCTAGATTCTAGACGGAACAGAAGCGCGTACTGCATTACCAAAAATACACATTATAACAAAATTAGAATGGGACCAAAGTCGAACATTAGAAATATATTATTAATAAAAAGTAAAAACACATGTTTAAAAAGTGTTTAAGATATACCATATATAATGGACATAGTATCCATCAATAGTTTTTATATTTTTATCTATTTGCCTCAGACTTAAGAATTACATATATAGACGGAGCTCGCCAAAAAAATGTCAAAATCAAAAATAGTACCGTGATAATCTCGATTTTGCCATACAAATTGTTTACTTCCTTTATTGAAATAAAGGAAATGTTTGTAATCGTTATTTACAATTTTTGAGAATAAGATATGAGTAATAGTGAACAATAAAAATAATACTATTTTATATTTTTCAAGCATTAAGTAGTTCTTTTCCCCTTAGAAGAGGAATGCCTTCTATTATAAAAAAATCGTTACCTATTTTTTAACATTTATTTACTTATTTCAGTAATGAGTATTCTATTTATATTTATATACTATTTTAAAACATTAGTTTGTTTAGTTCTATGACTGTCTATATATCATTCCTTAGTCAGAGTTGTTGGTTCATCTGTTTTCTTTTTGCAAGTAGTCTCTATTACAGATAGGGATTTTAGTTTTGTAAATCAAGTAGATAAAAAATTACAGGCGAAGCTTCATGTCTCATAAGCTCGTATAAACCGTTGTACTCAATGTTAAAACCAAACTAGTTTACGCTGGAAAGTATCAAATGAGCCCAAACTACAGGTTTTACTATTAGTTATTAACAATTCCACTATCCACCATTCTGGCACAAATTTTGTATTATTTGTCAAAATATTGCATTATCGTCGATTTTTTGTTCTTTATTGCACTTAATTGAAATACAGGATTTAACATACACTAAAATTAGTTTTCAAATAAATAAATATAAAAATATTTTTTTGCCTAAAGAGATTATAGTGTTGACGAAGTTTGTGGTTGAGGTCTCCTTTTAAGCAAGTAATTTTTGCCTGTATTAGTAGACCCCACTCTTCCATAACAAAACATAGAATAAAAAATATGTTGGGACATTAACACACAGCACCATCTAGTTCCATGGTAAGCTACGAGGCTTGTGTTATGGATACCAGATAGTTGATACACTACACATATATAACTTTAAATACATATTATAAATATAAACATCTATGACTAGAATACAAACATTCGTGCTCATCACACATATAAACGCCCCCTGCGGGACTCGAACACGCGAATGTTGGCACATCATGTGGGGTCACTACAAACTGAGCCAAACGTGTCGTCATGAGTGGACTTATCTAATAAAATAGTCGCTCACATTATGGTCTCTCCACTGGGGCGGTAAGTGCGGCCTGAGTTTTCTTTGCACGACCGCCTCTTGCATCTCTTCGAGGCCGGGATGCGAACCCACTTCTTCTTCCAGCGGGAGACGGTACTGTGCTGTTGCCTCTATGTTGCCGTCGTTGCATCTTAAAATAGTATAAGTTGATTCGATTTTACTATATATGTAATCGTTATTTATATATGTAAGGTTCCCAGTACTCCGTCGTCTGTCTGTGTGAAACTCAAAAACTACCTAACGGATTTTCGTATGGTTTCCCCAACGTGTGATTCATAGAAAAGGTTCAGATGTTCATGTAAATTGGCTGAAGTATGATGATGTTTAAAATTTCGGAAAAATCATGCTGACTGGTAGCTTTAATGGCGTGCGCCGCGAAAGCCTATAAAGTTACATGAAAACAATGAATTACGGAATTATTCCTCTTAAAAATGATTAATTAAACTGTAGTAATGCTATTTGTACGTACCTAGGGACCACTCGTACGATTATAAAGTATTAGGCAATTTGTTACTTAGTTTTTAATATAAGCTGTACAGTTTGAAATATAAATACATATAATGTAAAAAAAAGATTCCGACGAATTGGGAACCTCCTCTCTTTTTTGGAAGTCGGTTAGTGATAATAATGATGAATTGTAGTCTTCTGTGGGTATTATAAACATATACAATAAACACGTACTCTTATACCTTTAACAATAACTATTATTTCAATTAAGCTCAAGTTTCATATAAAAATCTTCACAATCTAAAAACAATATAATAAACAACAAAAAAAATTACCTTGAAGCAATCTCCCAAAGGACCAGCGCACACGCATACATATCTATTCTCAAGAAGGCGTCTTTTGTGAAATTGATGGCACCATCCAAAACCTCGGGAGCCATGTACCGCCTCGTCCCCACTTGACCGTGTGCATCGCCACAACCGAGTCCTGCCTCAAAAACTAGAGCTAGACCGAAATCTGCTATACAAGCGCTTAAATCTGCTTTAAGAAGTACGTTCTTGGATTTAAAGTCGCGATGAGCTATTGCTGGTTTGCCGCCATCCTCTTCGTGCAAGTGTGCTAGGCCTCGGGCCACGCAGGCGGCCACGCGCCAAGCCTCAGGCCAAGTCAGTGTGTGGCCTTTTAGGTAATCGCAGAGAGAGCCCTGAAAATGTTTTATAGTTTAGCTATATGTAGTGTCATCGAACGTCGACCGACATGTGTTATACAGCCTTGACTCTGATAAAAATACCTGATGTTAAAGTGCATTGTATGGAGGAATCATTTTGCCTATAATGTTAATAATATAATCTTTTTGAAATAAATGAGAGTAAAAATACCAAACAGGTAGCCCAGTGATAACGCGCTCGGTAGAATAACCGAGTGAAGCGGGTTCAAATCCCGGGTCTCTCATCCCAACATGATTACCATTTGTCTGAAGGAAAACATCGTAAGGAAACCAACATGAGAATTAATTAGTTTTAAAAACATTAAAGTATTAAAAACACAAAACCAACATTAGACACCCTAGCAAGTTCTCGAAAGACATGTGAAGTTCTCCAACCCGCACTACGCCTACATATTGATATGCGATCTCCAATCCAAACCCAAACGTACCAAAGTACCCAACGGCCAATTACATATAAGCATCGTATTAAAACTGTGCCTACACTCTACACTTACAGTATTGAAAATCTACTCAAATTTTATTTATATCTGCAAAGCGCGACAAACTGAGTGAAGTATCTATCTCCTTTTTTATTATCTCGCGAAGGAAATAAGGAGAAGCTATATATAAATACATCGAAACTACAAATGCTTACCAACTAAAAAAAGTATCTTAGACCATTTTGTAGCTAACTTAAATTATATAAATTGTAGTAGTATAAAAATAAAATATGTCGTTATTTATATATTTTGTCTTTACTTCTTTTTTTTCACATTATATTTTTGCAAATAATTACAAATAAAGTGATAATGATATTAGATATACATGTATATTTACTTTTAATACCCAGATACACCCTAAAAATATTACAAATTCTCAATAACAGGATATCAAACATACCTTTTCATGATAAGCTGTGATGAGCCAGTACTCAGCTTGCAAATTGTCGCCTTTTTTATCAACGCCGATATAGTGCAATATATCAGGATGGTCCATTCGGGGGAGTCTGTATATTTCCTGTTCTGCCAGCCATGACTGTTTATCTTGTAATGGAAAGACTTTGACTGCAACATCTCGTTGACCTAACTTTGCTCTCCAGACTGCCCCGAATCTTCCTCGGGCCCGAACCTCGCACAATGTTATTTGACTAAGAAGACCTGCCGATTCATTTTCCATGCCAGCCCCAGCAGAGGGAGGTCTCGATAAAGAGGCTTCACCGCTACCCAACTCAGCAAATGAACTGCCTTTACGTTTCCTATACAACAGGTAACATCCGACTAGCACAGCAAATAGTAAAAATAATGGTATCAAAGTATATGCTATGACTGCTGTAGTATCATCTTCTGGTGTTGGTAGAGATGATGCTGGAATTCGTTCTGGAGGCAGTTCAGTTGGAGATGGCATTCCAGCCTCCAAACCAGGGAATGTGGCATTCTCATTGCACATGTCACCCTCACAACAGCAATGAAGCAGCGGTAATTTCATATTATGCAATCTGCAGGTTGAAGCTCTATCATTACATGCCACTGTGTCAAGGAAACATCCTTTGACTTTAACGTTTGCTGTGTTGGTGATATTGTCATATTGCCACACCACAAAGCAATGGTTGCTTTTATCTGTCTCTATTGGCAAGCAAGCATCTTTTATAACAGTTCTCGGGGGGCATGTTGAATTATCTGTATCTTGGCATAAAGATACACTGTTATTAAAGAATTCACAATATCGAGTCTCAACACCACCTTCTTTAGGTCTTGGCGGTAAATTCTCATCTGTCGGTGGTGCTGCTAATATTAATTTTAATCTTCTTCCTCCATAAAAATTGACAATATCTGTTAAAAAAATTGATAATGTAACTAATAATAATTTTTTTAAATTAAATTGAAGGCATAAAAAGATATTTATATCATTTATATAAACCGGGAAATATAAGTCATGTTTACATAATGATTAGGACAAATAAGGTATGCCAAAATAAAATACTTTAGATTGGAGGTATAAAAAGAAAAAGTAATAAATATTGTTTTAATTGGAGTAATTGCCATGATTTAACATGAGAATTACTAAAGTTTATTTAAACAAGGTCACCAGTGTTGACATACAAAACATGATTGGCATAATAAAACCCACTGATAATGTACTTAATTTGTATAACATGCCAAATGGATATTTGAAATAAATCTAATGTACCTAGTAAAAAAATGAAAACCCTAAGTTACTTCCAGATATGGAATTGACATTTTTATAACATACAATTAACCTACATATCATAGATAACTGAATAAAGCCTACTCATTAAAATTGCATGTTCTGTAATCTGATTTGTGAATCGAGAGTATCAATTGAATAATCGGTCGGAAGATAAATGTTTGCTTGGTATGCCACTTACCTAGTAATATTAAAGACGTAAGCAATAATATCTTTGAAGCCATCGTTAAAGGGCTGTAGGCGGGATTAAGCACCGCCGCCCGACTGGTCGCGACAATCCAATGTTATTTTTATACACTGCCCCGACATCAAAAGTCTATTTAGGAATTCTCCAATATAAGTACATGACAGATTGAAGCCCAAACAACGCACATTCGATTATTCCTGATTCGCACAATCAAACACTTTTTAACATTAGATATAATACACATCAAAAGTAAAAACTTCTAAGTAAAGCAATTCTGTCAATTGCTCTGATTCAATCACGATGTAATAAAAATAATAGAACAAACATGAAACAACTAATCAAATCACAAGCTTCTCTTTTTGACATTTGTGACCGTAAGCCTAGGGATGCCATATGATACGTGTTTTTTTAAATGCTTGTATATTGTGATATTGCTACACCATTCATTCATTAGACCACAGTTATAAAAAAAATCCCTATAAATTTCAATTTAATTTACTAAGTCTCCAAAGTTTGCCAGTTGAGCATGAGCACAGATCCCGACAACAACAACCGCGGACACGCCGGCTTACAGTTAATAGATTTCTTAGAAATTTAATGAATTTCTTAGAAATTAACCTGGAGGTGTTAAATATATTTGTGTGCCTTATAGCCCTATTTCTGAGATATTAATATTTTTTATATATTTTTAACCTACTGCGCCTGAAGGAGGGCTATGTTTTTCGAGTGTATGTATGGTAGTACGTTTACCAGGGCGAATTCCATACATGGTGGCTCTTTAATAATACTGAACAAATTGTTGAAATATAAGGAACGTAAAGACATAGTGAGCCTCTCTGTTGAGCGTACAATTGAATTAGCATCAGTAGAGTTAGAGCAATTCATTGTAGTATGTGTATACAGACCTCCCTCATCTAACTATGATACTTTTGAAACAGTTATGGATGTAATGTTAAATAAATTGTCAAATTCTAATAAGAAAAAGATTGTGTGTGGAGACTTTAACATAAATATTTTAGAACAAAGTACTTTGAGTATGAAATTACTTAACCTTTTTACATCACACAATCTTTCCAAAATGTTTATGGAGCCAACAAGAATAACTGCCACTAGTGCCACTTGTATAGACAACATTTTTACCAACTTTACACCAATTTCTAAAAACATTATTAGTAAGATAGATTCTGATCATTGTGGTCAATTAATAAAGTTTAATATCGATAAAAATGTTGTCACAAAAAGGAAAATCTCTTTTGTGCCAGTAACTACAAACCGACTCATTCAATTGCAAAATGACCTAAGTTGTTATTTACCATTATTAAGTAATAATTTAAGTGCGAATGAGATGTATAACCAATTCTTTAAATCTTTTAGTAAACTTTACAATTCGGTATTCACTACCAAATCGGTTACAGTTTCTGATACATTGGTATTTAGTGAGTGGGCAACTGCAGAGTTATATAAAAAAAGAGAAAAATTATACGAAATGTACGCAGAAAGGCAGCATAACACTAGTGAACGGTTTAGAGACAAAGTTAAATCATTTTCCAAATTATTTAAAAAGGATTGCGAAATGGCAAAGTCTCATTATCTGAGTAACAAGATAGAAAATAGTGGTAATAAAATTAAAGCTACATGGAAAATAATTAACGAGGAAACTGGAAAGAGTAAAACTCTAAACAATAGCTTTAAATTAAATATAGATAATAAATACATTAGTTCTGACTCTGAGGTAGCCGCCGCGTTTGAAACCTTTTTTACCGACATACCAGTTTCCACTACTAGGTCTCTGAACTCTTCACCTGCCACTGCGATCAAATTATTGGAACAAAATGTGGAAGAATGCAATATTAGCTTTAAGTTCGAAAATATAAATGCACAACAAATTATAAATGTATTTAAATTACTGAATGTTAAAAAAACAAAAGATCTTTGGGGAATTTCTGTTAGCATCCTTAAACCACTTATTGATGTTGTTGCATCTGACTTAGCATTAATATTTAATAAGTGTGTAGAATCTGGTGTGTTTCCTGACTTAATGAAACTTAGTAAAATTATTCCTTTGTTTAAATCGGGTTGTACCTCTGATGCCACTAATTTTAGGCCTATTTCAATATTACCTACATTTAGTAAAATCTTTGAAAAAATAATGTTAACTCAAATTACGAAACATTTTTATAATAATGAACTATTACATGTAAAGCAATACGGTTTCACTCGCGGTCGTTCAACAGCCGATGCTGGAGTCGCGTTACTTCTAAATATATTTGAGGCCTGGGAGGAGTCACGTGATGCACTTGGCATTTTCTGTGATTTGTCCAAGGCATTTGATTGCGTTCATCATGAAACGTTGGTCAGAAAATTACACCACTACGGAATTAGAGATAAGGCTCTGGATTTACTTAGATCATATTTGAATGAAAGAATCCAGAGGGTAGACGTGAATGGAAAGCGTTCCCCTGGATCAGTTGTTGAAATGGGTGTACCACAAGGTTCAATTTTGGGTCCTTTTCTGTTCCTCATTTATATAAATGACCTACCATACCTCGTAAAGGATGACCACGGGATAGTTTTGTTTGCTGATGATACATCTTTAGTTTTTAAAGTTAACAGACGACAAGCAGTAATTGACGATGTGAACATTGCTTTATCCAAAGTGGTACAATGGTTTAATGTCAACAACCTTTTACTAAACGAGAAAAAAACAAAATGTGTAAAATTCACTTTACCAAATGTTAAAAGTGTAAAAACCAATGTACGACTGAATAATGAGGAACTAGATCTAGCTGATACCACTGTATTTCTAGGCATTACATTAGATGCCAAACTCCAATGGGGCCCTCATATTTCTCAATTATCGAATAAGCTCAGTTCTGCAGCCTACGCGGTTAAGAAAATACGTCAATTAACAAATGTAACGACAGCTAAGTTAGTATACTTTAGCTATTTTCACAGCATTATGTCATATGGTATTTTACTATGGGGTAATGCTGCTGATATTGACACAATTTTTGTGCTGCAGAAAAGGGCTGTTCGAGCTATATATAATTTAGGCCCAAGAGAATCTTTGCGGAATAAGTTTAAAGAAATTAAAATAATGACTGTACACTGCCAATACATCTATCAAAATCTAATATATGTACATAAAAATATTGATAAATTCAAGAAATATAATGACCTGCATAATGTAAACACTAGAAACAAAAATAAGCTAGTTCAGCCCACCACTAGGCTCCATAAAATTGGTAATTCCTTTATTGGTAATAGTATTCGCTTTTACAATAAACTACCAGATGATACTTTAAAACTGTCAATAAATAAATTTAAAATTTACATTAAAAGACAATTAATAAATAAATCCTATTATAATGTAAAGGATTATTTAAGTGATAAAAAAGCTTGGGAATGAATTGCTCTTTATACTGAAGTAAGGATGTTTGTGAAACAATGATCACAATAAAAAATGTTACTTGGCTGAGTTTCTTGTGGGTTCTTCTCAGACCAGGGCGCGTTACGAACCCTCGTAGCTTTAGTTTAAGTCTTCTAATTGACGTACACAAGTGATCATTGAATTGATACAATGTGTAAAAAGAAGTAAATAAATAAATAAATAAATATATTTCTTTGGCAAGCTCTGTAGCCCAAACGGCTTGATGGATTTTCGCTTGAGATTTCTATGTATGTTTTTTTCCTCAAAGTCTGTGAAGTGGGGTTCAAACTAAAGGGGTTTAAAATGGCTTAAAAAATATATGCAAGTTATATGTTTAAATGTAATTTGGATTGAGAAATGTTAAAAAACAACAAATAAATAAACTATTTAAAAAAAAAAACAAAAAAATCCGACTGTGTAAAAAGCGAACTAAAAAGATAAAAACAAATTGACGAAGGAACATAGTATTATGCACTATGCAGTTGGAGACATACACAAACGCAGCTATTATAAAACACGTAGGTTCATATGTATGTCTGATGTCTCCAACTGCATTATATTATATAGTATGTTCCTTTGCGTCGTCAACGTGATTTCATCTTTTTAGAACTCGCTTTTTACACAGTCGGGTTTTGTTATGTTTGTAAATGTTTTCAACCGACTTCAAAAAGGAGGAGGTTCTCAATTCGACTGTATGTTTTTTTTTTATGTTTGTTACCTCAGAACTCCGTCATTTATTAACCGATTCGGACAATTTTTGTTTTGTTTGAAAGGGTATACTTCCAGATTGGTCCCATTTAAATTTAAAAAAAAATACCACCCCTAAGGGTGGAAAAACAACTAATGATGAATTTAACCTACTTCTAATTGTCATATTGACTTGAAACTTTGCGAGTATTTCTATTTCCGTTGATAGTACAGTGGTTCAGTGTTGTTGACCTGATCTGATGGCAAGGCCAGAAGGTGGATAGGTGGAACTCTTCAACGCCTAATAGTAGATACTTTGAGTTTGGGCTTATTTTGTTTGATTCGACAAGCCTAACACGTTAGAATCCTTACTTTGCTACTACTGTCTACACTAAAAAGGGAAAAATAAAAACTTTTTAACAAAAAAAAATAAAAACCGACTTCAAACAAAAGCACTAAAAAGTAAAAAATAACTGATTGGTAGTTTTCATTTACTATACATACCTAATCAAATATTTTCGAAGTCGGTGTGCTTTGGCTAAGTAATTAAAGCCTACCTATTAAATACATACCTAATCAAATATTTTCTAAATCGGTGCCAGCCCATACAAAGCAAAGCACACCGACTTCGAAAATATTTGATTAGGTATGTATAGTAAATGAAAACTACCAATCAGTTATTTTTTACTTTTTAGTGCTTTTGTTTGGAGTCGGTTTTTATTTTTTTGTTAAAAAGTTTTTATTTAATATCATACCCAACTACCTTTTTTTTACGTTGGGAAATGCATTTAAACACGGAAGTGTGGGACGCACCGGCAAGGCCAGTACTATCCAAAAAACCCAACGGAATCTCCCCGGTCTTCATGGGGCGTCGCAGAATCGCTTACGCATTCAACCACGATGCTCCGACGGCAGGTCTGCTGAGCAGATCACAACCATGGGGTTGCTCTAAGGTCCACTCTGTTATCAGAGAAGTACCAGGAGCAACCCGCATAGTACACCGCCCAATTGGCTTCGCGCCCGGTTGTATTGCCGGGCACTAGACTGAGCCACAACAAGGTGAACGCACATTGGGGGGAACATACCTAACTGCCTCGTTTATTTAGTGGCTAATATGTACGGCTGCAGATCCAGATGTCCTGGGTTCGAATCCTAGGTTAGGCAAGTTCCAAGTTGTCATGAAATTGTGAGTGAAAATGTGAAAAGTTGGCGGCGCTACATCCTCGTCTCTTGGAGATTAGGTAAAGCCGTCGGTCTCGAACCTCACCCATCATAGAATGTGTTGATCTAATCTCTCATCAGACTTTGAGAATAAACAAAATGTAGAGTGGAAATGTAGCTTCACACATTTGTACAATGCCTAGTCTTAGTGAGATTCAATTAGGATATTATTGGAATGGAATAAGATTTATTACATTTTAATTTAAAATAACCAACAACTTTTTTATTTCATAATTATTTTAATGACTGACTTGAATGCCATCATAATACTTTATTAGAAGCTAACATAAAATATTTTATTGGTTTAAAATTTAAAGCTAAGTCACAATTATTACTTAGATTAATAAGAAACTTGCTTTGCATATATGATATACAAGCAGAATTGTACTGTCTATTTTTTTGTAGATTTTTGATTTGTTCAAATAAATAATCAGTCTCATTAATTTCTAATACTTTCAGCAGTGCTTTTTCATCAAATGATTTAAATGGGCAGCCACCTTCTGAACAGGAAGCATCAGCAGCTTGGATGAATTGACAGTTTTGGGATTGATAGTGTTTTCTACCACCTTCTAACCCATACAAATGTCTAATTCCATACATAAATCTTTTTTCATCTCTTTCCCAATTGTGACAACAATTATGTTTTCCATTTGGAGACTTCTCATATTCAGCTTTCCAAAAGCTTATTGCTTGATTTACAGGCATGCCAACATCTTTCAAAAAAAGGCTATAACAAAATCGTTGGTCATGGCTAAGTCTATGTTTCTGTCGTAAATGCTGATGTAAATTTAGCATGCAAGGTGGAAATAATTTTGATGCATTATCAACCTCATAGCTCATTAAAATATTGATATTATAAGTCTTTTGTAATATCATACTTTTTCTTACTTTGTGAAGTAAATCAATTATTCTTGGATCATGTCTTAGAGTATCCAGGTTAGTATAACAGACTCGATTTTTTAAGTTGGTTTTAAATAATGATATTAGGTAATTTTTCCATTTGCTGCATGGAATTAAAGCTAATCCTTGTTTTAATTCCACCTGCCTGTCTGCTATAAATGATAAACAATGTGTAAAATAGACTTGCAGAAAATGCTTTGAGCAGTTATCACAACAAGAAATAGAGCTGATATGGTGTACTGTATGTTTTAATAGTAAATGCTGGCAAAGTTTTCTTAAAGGATCAAGTAGAGAGAAATTTGATTCAATTTTCCTTATTTGTCTGAGCAGTTTTTTTGCAAAACATCTTAAGTCATAAGCCAAGAGCGCTTTCAGTCTATATTTAAACAAAATTTCTTCTGCCTTTATAAAAAACTGTGTAAAATCGGCATTATCTTCTAAAATTACAATAATGCACAGCATAAAGTGCCCAACGATGTCATATACACTTCCATCAATCATATATTCACTGTAAACTAGTCCTTGTGTTTTAAACACAGATTTTAAATATTCCAGTCTTTTGTTTACTAAAGTCTCTAATAAATAAATTGGCATGTCTCCTTTTATAGGTGACAAATAAAAGAAAGACATTTTAATACATTAGCGTATAACCAGCACCGAAAAAAAACAGCTACATAATTTGCATAACCCTAATAAGTACGTTAGAATAAATTAAATAATAATGAATATGTACATTTCAAAATTGGAATCAAATAAACACTTGCCATTTGATAATAAATTAATGTCTGTTTGACATTGACTATGACATTTAGCCACAGAATAAAAATACTCTAGGAGCATTTAGCATTTGTGAATTGTGAAGTCAGACACCTACCCTACCCCAGCCTGCAAATTTATGATATTCGCAATGAAAAAAATACTAATCGATAGATTTTTAATAGCTCAATTCAACTACGTAGCCCTTCCAAATTGCTCACCATTAATTATAAAATTAAAAATCAATAAAGTCCTTGAAAAAAAATTCATTTATCCGTATATTCAAATTTCTATATCTTTTGATATATACAATATTTTAAATTGCTCAAAGTTCTAAAATACTGCTCAAGTTGCATTTGTAATTGCTCAAGTAGAGTTCTCACCAGCTCCACTTTCCTTAATTATTAAATAAATATAAATAGTTTGAATAAATTACTGCCGAACATTGAAGGATATTTGGATAGAAAGAAACGATTTGGTCAAAAGCAGTAAAGTACTATCATCAAAGCAACTTCCGTCAATCAAAATAGCTGCAATTTTCTATGTAAATATAAAACATTAATAAAGTATAAAATCATATTTACATTGTTGAGTTCATTTTCACCTTGATACACCTACTTATAGACCTACCCTACCCCAGCCTGCAAATTTATGATATTCGCAATGAAAAAAATACTAATCGATAGATTTTTAATAGCTCAATTCAACTACGTAGCCCTTCCAAATTGCTCACCATTAATTATAAAATTAAAAATCAATAAAGTCCTTGAAAAAAAATTCATTTATCCGTATATTCAAATTTCTATATCTTTTGATATATACAATATTTTAAATTGCTCAAAGTTCTAAAATACTGCTCAAGTTGCATTTGTAATTGCTCAAGTAGAGTTCTCACCAGCTCCACTTTCCTTAATTATTAAATAAATATAAATAGTTTGAATAAATTTAACGTATAGATAGGTTCAAGATCACACTCTATACAAGTATTTTCAATGTACAATATCAATTGTTATTTTAATAGGTACACACGTAGAAGTCCAAGAAGTTTCAGAATCAGACCTCCTCTGCATAATCAACGATGACGAGGACGACGAGAAATCCTTGTCTCGCTCGGGCGAGGAAAACAGCATAAATGCCGGTAAACGGACCACAACTGGACCCCGCTAAGAAAAATGAAACATCGCCGCTAAATTAATCAGGAAAAAGTGGACGCTACTAAGGGCTCTAATGAGATGGAGTCAAAGAGTGAGACGAAGCTGTTGAAAATGAGATGGAACATCCGAGAGGCGATCAGCTCAGCATCAAGAGATGGAATGTTTGTGGCGCTTCCAGGAGCTAAAAAGGATCGTAGCAGTATTATTAAATTATTGATTGCTGATCAGAGTTCAAAATTCCTTTATATTAAAGGTAGTTTATATTCATGCAGTTTGATTCTTTGAAATAAAAATGTCATTATACTATATGTATATTTAAAAATAAAAAAAGTTCCGTCTTGTATTGATGTTGATAACATTTTACTAATGATCCCTGTCATGGCTATTACCTTAATAGAATAAGCATTTGAACATAAGATTTTGTCTTAATTTATCTGTTGGTATTAATTTTCATTTATTGGTAGATTCCAGATCTGTTCTTTATGTTATAATATCTGAAGTGGAATCACGTAATGTGAACAATTCATAAATTCAATAAATTAAAAGAAATCTACCGAGAAACAGAATTAAGACGTTGAATTGGAACGATTGTCCAAGCCCGCCGAGGCCGACCGACAATGCGCGGTGCGCATGCGCACGCTCACTTAACCTACGTTACATTTATTACAACTATACTTTTAATTATTTAATAATCAGCGAAAGTGGAGCTGGTAAAAACTCTACTTGAGCAATTACAAATGCAACTTGAGCAGTGTTTTAGAACTTTGAGCAATTTGAAATATTGTATACATCAAAAGATATAGGAGTTTGAATATACAGATAAATTAATTTTTTTTCAAAGACTTTATTGATTTTTAATTAAATAATTAAAGGTGAGCAATTTGAAAGGGCTACGTAGTTAAATTGAGCTATTGAAAATCTATCGATTAGTATTTTTTTCATTGCAAATATCATAAATTTGCAGGCTGGGGTAGGGTAGGTTACTTATAGTTATTGACTAGCAGATTTATGTATATTTTAGCTATATTTATTCTAGCATTTTTTAGTTTTAGTCAAAAAGTGAAAAATATCCAGCAAACATAATGAGCATGTATACTACTACTTATTTTGTTTTGGAGCAAAGAAGAATATATAGAAAATACTTTGTAAACAGACATAAAGTTACAAAATAAAGTTACCTTTTAGTCATGATTTGATTTTTGTATAAATTGAACATAATGAATAAGTCAATAAATAATAAAAATACCTGATAATAGATGATGTTGTGCTTGGAGTATTACAGTTTCATTTCACTATGATGAGGTTATGAAACACTTGATTTTTTTGCCTTGCGACTCGCGTTACTGTTTGCGCGCATGCGCAGCACTCACCTATCTATACGTTAAATTTATTCAAACTATTTATATTTATTTAATAATTAAGGAAAGTGGAGCTGGTGAGAACTCTACTTGAGGTATTACAAATGCAACTTGAGCAGTATTTTAGAACTTTGAGCAATTTAAAATATTGTATATATCAAAAGATATAGAAATTTGAATATACGGATAAATGAATTTTTTTTCAAGGACTTTATTGATTTTTAATTTTATAATTAATGGTGAGCAATTTGGAAGGGCTACGTAGTTGAATTGAGCTATTAAAAATCTATCGATTAGTATTTTTTTCATTGCGAATATCATAAATTTGCAGGCTGGGGTAGGGTAGGTAAGTCGACACAGTCAGATTTCATACCAGGCACAGACTCATCACTCAAACGGCTCGTTTGAGTGATGAGTCTGTGCCTATTGCCTAATAATGGCACTTACTATTCTTAAAAACTTAAGTTATTAATTATCTGCCTAATCTGTATCTAAAAAAATCATTTTAATATAAAAAATATCAAAGTAAATTAATTCCTGTAAAAATGTAATTTATATAGGCAAGTATACAGATCATAAAAAATGCACCGAGTGTAATTTTAACTAAATATAGATTTACTTACATATATTTTAAATTATGTCATTTGTGAGGAAAGGATTTTAATGTAGAAATAGCTATATACAGCTTATATTAGTTTAGAAAACAAACATCAATTTTAAGCCTGCGCTAAACGGTTCAACTTGATACAGTGAGCCATCCGTCAGATTTAATATTAATACAAATTCACTACACAAGACTGGTAGCCTTAGCACGAAATATTAACAAATTCGTATCGTGTAATGTCTATAAATCTTGTCGGATCGGATACCACAGCGGACGATAGGTATTTAAAAAAAAGTTTTTTTTAAGAACATCCCTTTATAAACCATCTAAGTTACTACAGTAAACTACAGCTAACTTATATATACGGTAATTTAAAATAACTTAAAAGTTGTGGCTTAAAATTATGACAAATATAAATTTTTACCCTTTAAGATAGGCGGTTTCCAATTATAAGTTTTTTGATGTGTAACATCTTTCCTCTAGCTTTCCTGCAATCTGGATACAGTTGGATACATAACATAAAAACTCTAATAACATTCAAAATTTTCAAAAACTTACTTTATTCACTCTTATTTGATTATAATAGAAAATGAGCAAATTTTTAGTCTAATTAGAGTAAAATAAATATAATAAGGTGAGATGTCAGATGTTACACATCATACGCCAATACTGTAAGGCTCTCTTGTTTCCTTTTTTTATTTTATATTGTTGGAATAATATAATATGGAATAATATAATATTTAATGATATAGGATAATTTATTATAGCGCTTAAAATGTATCTACTAAATTTAATAAATGTATGTATGTATGTTTGCGTCTAATAGCTCTGAAACTATCTAGCTGTTATCGCCTTGTGATTATACCTAATTCATTACGACAAATGATCATTATTCATTATGGTTGTATGTAATTAAGGTAATTTGTAATTAATTTAATTAATTTTATTTATGCAAAAAAAACATAACGGGTACTTATATTCAGAGTTTTCACGTGCAGGCAAACAAAACAACTTTACAGCTTGATATTTATTAGTACTATCCGTAAAAGCTCCGTAAAATGAGGACCAAGTTTTCTCTAAACTAAGGTTATCTGAAAGTCATCAGAATCGGTTAAATGTATGGTACTGCCGTGCCCTTTTTGCTCGACTTCGCGGGGGCACTGCCGTGCCCCCCGATTATTACTAGACCACTATTATCTATAAATACCTAGGTATAATAAAATAGTAACCAAGCGAAATGTGTATGAGGTAAAATGTAAATGGGGAAGGTTTGTATAAGTATATAATTTGTTGTATATTTAGTACCTACAAAATGGTTGAGCAGTGAGTGTAGACGTATCTTGTCAAAAAAAATGTTTTCGTACGATTATATTGATAACGCTGGCTAAACCGTTAGAGACACATCAAAACAAATGTACCTACCAAAAATTGTAGATCTTAAAAAAGCCTACAGACAACTCCGTAATATTATGAGTCTATCTCATACGGTACGCTCACAATAACTATTTTTAACCCTCGACGCAAAAAGAGGGGTGTTATAAGTTTGACATCGATGTCTGTCTGTGTGTGTGTGGCTGTCTGTGGCATCGTAGCTTTCAAACGGATGGACCCATTTTTTTTATTTGAAAGCCAGTTTCCTTGCGGTGGTTCTTAGCTGTTTGGTTAATATCGGTCCAGCAGTGTAAGAGTATCAGCTCTTTTCCAAAATGATGTAAGGCATTTTGGCGTATGATTACTTGACAAGTGTTTCACGCGTGGCAGTGTAATCGTTAAGTGACAATTAATTTGCGTAGGGGTTTTTTTAATTTTTAATTATTATCTATATAAAACGTACCTAGGGACGCCCTCGAGCGAGGTCAGGGTAAGTCGCTAGTTTAATATTCTAAGGTGCTTTTACCAGCACCGCAGTCATCTAATCCGACTAACGGCTAACTAAAAAGTCTAGACAGGGCAATCGTGCGAGGTATGAGACGCGTGAAGGACGTTCTCGAATATCAACTCATTTTATAGATCTGTTAAAGGATATTCGGGAGACGGCATTAATGGTTGATAAATTATTAATTTGTTTATATTGATATATTAGTTGAGCTTTAATATTTATCCATAATTTTAATATTATAAATATGAAAGTGTATTTGTTTGTACTTCTTTTACGTCGAAACGGCTTGGCGAATTGGCGTGATTTTTAGTGCGGAGACTGGAGATAGTTGCAGGGCTGGAGAGTAACATAGGCCACTTTTTACCGCGGGAGATTAGCTGTAATCCAAAAAAATATTTGTAATCAGAATTAAATGAAACTTGGTTTTAATGGTCTTCAATACAATTAACTAAATACGTGTTTTAGCATTTTTCGAAATTCATCCCATAAGAGGGTAATATAGCGGATGAAAGTTGGTATGAAACCTACCATTTTAGATTTTTTTTTGTAGTTTTAGCGCGAGCGAAGCCGCGGGTTCTGCTAGTTATCTCTATGGGAGGGGGAGGGGAGGAGGGGAGCTACCCCCAACTTAACCGATTTGGATGTGGTTTTCACGAATGTATTTTATGGTAAGCTTCACTTAACATTTAGTATTGGTTTTATTTCAATCGGTTTATAAATTAAAAAGTTATGTCAATTTAATTAAAAAAAAAACAGAAAAATTTATTTTAAAATAAGTTGTGTATACTTATGTACGCTCGTAAGAAGTTATGCTTCTTTGTTTTTTTAGAGCATTCAAATAAAAGCTTGATTTTTTAAATGTTTTAACTGTTTTTTAATGATTCTTGCTTTTTTTTCGTATTCTTCTCAGCAAACCCTTTCATTTGATATCCAATTCAAGGGGGTGCAAAATAAATAGTCCGCTATAGCGAACGGAATTCAAATATTAAAAGATGATGCAAAACGGCACCCCCGCCGCACGCGCCGCCCGCCGGTCCGCTATCGCGGACGGGAGGGGTAATTACTAATTAGTAATGTTCGGGACGCGCATTACATTAGACCACGCCGCTCCCTCTTACGCCGTTGTTTTAGATATATACTTACATTTTGTTAAAATTGATTCTGCAACCCGTGTACAATAATAGTATATAAATTAAAGTGTTAATTACCAGTTTTCGAATATCATTTCCCTTAGCTATAATTGGCAGCCCAACTCGAGGAACGAATGTGAAAATTAAAGTCGTACCTTTAAGATGATGCAATCATTCTCAAATATTAACTGATGTTTTAAGTGTTTGGTAAATTGTGTCGCGAGTCAAAACTGAAACTTTACGATTATCGGTGTACATATATTGTACTTTTTAGTGTGGTTCGTGAATCGTGTGTGGTAGTTAGGTACTTATGGTGAATACGCGTTTGTGCCGAGTATTAGCAATGAATGATACAAATGAATCCGTGCCGCCGCCCCAGAACGGGCAAGCCGCAAGATTTGTGTTACCCGCTGATGTCGTGTCCGGCGTGCGTACGAGCGCCGACGCGACGCTCCATGCGTCGCCGCCGCGCCCATCGCCATTTTTACACGTGCCGTTCGCGCATGGTGCGGACGCACCAGGCCACGGTGCGCCGACAGAGATACCTACGGCACCTGCTCCCGTAGTTATGACGGACTAGCAGCTAAGTGTTATTTTACAATCTTTACGTATGCCGCCGACTTCGTATACGCTACCGCCTGGATACGGTGCCTATGTGTTACCGAACTTTGCAAACTGTACCGCACGTTTTGACGGCTCAGGTGACGTCGAGGCGTTTATTGACTCAATTGTTATTTATAAAAACTGTGTTAGTATAGACGATGATATAGCTTTGAAGGGACTACGTATGTTATTAACTGGTTTTGCGGCTACGTGGTACCTAAGGGTGAAACATAGTATTTTCACATGAAGTGATGCGCTTTTATTATTAAAGCAGACCTTTGGCCCGCGCATTCCACCACATAAAATATATCGAAAGATATTTGAACATGAACAAGGTGATGAAACAGTAGACGTTTTTGTGTTCAAAATTAGAGCTTTGTTTGCACAATTACCTGCTACCAGTCTGAGTGACACGGTACAACTGGATATGATATATGGGTTGTTACACAGAAGAGTCAGGGAAAAGCTTCCACGAAATTCCTTTTCTACTTTCACTCAGCTTTTAAGTGAGGCATGCCGTTTAGAGGACCTTTTTGAAGAGGGACGTAGTCACCGTAGAGCGCCGGCTGCAGCCGCGCTTCCTATCCCGGAGACGTCTCGAGCTTCTTGCGTACCTACCACATCAAAAGCACTGAGCCATAGGCCCCGATGTGTGTACTGCAAACAATATGGTCACGCGAGGGAGGATTGTAACAGGTTGAAAGAAAAGGCTTCGAGTGTAGTAACAAAAGCAAAGAAATCACTTGAGCGATCTCAAATAACTTGTTTTGGTTGTGGAACGCCCGGTGTTATACATGCAAAGTGTATAAAGTGTAGTAAAACCGCCGCGAATACCGCGTTTCACACAGTGTCCGCAATCGGGTCGAAGCCAGTAGATCCGAGGAGTCGACCACTCCTAGAAGTGTTAGTGTACGGTGCTAGGGGTCTTGTATTGGTCGATGCCGGGGCGAAACATTGTATCGCGAGTGAAAGCTTAAAAGCTAATTTATATAAGAACAACCATAAATTTGTTAAAGTTAGGACAGATTTGAAATTTGCTGATGGCACTGTAAAAAATTTAGCTGTTGATACTGCTCAAGTGGAGGTGACGGTGTTAGACATAGTAGTGTCGACACTTTTTATCGTTCTTCTCGGTGCCACAGATTCGCTGTTAGGCATGAATTTCACTAAGGATTCTTTTATGGTACTTGATTTTAATCGGAATTTATGGGGTTTAAAGGGTTCGTTGATCCATGCTCTTGAATTTGAGGGACCTTTAGATAGTTTTCGCGTAGCATGCTCGACTGTGGGTCTCCCACACGATGAGGGAACTTTTTTGAAACCTGAAGAGAGGCGAGAGTTATTAGATGTTCTGGAAAGGAACCAGGATGTCATTGAGCCAGGGGGAGCCCCTACGACTTTTGCCGTCCACCGCATTGATACTGGAGATCATGCACCAGATCGAGTGTCCCCTGCAAAAAGAGAAGTAATGAAGATACAAGCATTCAACTTGGACGTTAATTATGCACCTGGGAAGATGAATGTCATCGCAGATACTCTCAGTCGTCCAGTCAGTCAGTCAGTCAGTCAGAGTCGCTGACTCGGAAGATATTTGTGAGATCTGCTCTATGGTAGTAGACTTACCGCATCGACGACCTGGACAGCTCCGCGTTTCCTAGTTGGAAGATCCTGAAATTAAGAAAATTATTGATGATTTTGAAGACGATGATCCAGACGCAGCATTGCGCTGGACACGAAGAGGGTACTATATGACTCAGGGAGTCCTTTATCGTGCAGATCCTGAAGGAGAAGCAGATGAGCCATTGCTGGTGGTGCCAGAATCGCAACGCGCAGAATTAATGAAGGAGCTGCACGACGCGCCGACCGCTGGACATCTCGGCTTGGAACGCAGCCTGACGAAGATTAAAGAAAGATATTATTTTCCACATATGCGAACCTTTGTAGCTCAATACCTCAAGTCATGTGACATATGTAAGCAACATAAGTCTACAAACCTGAAACCTGCGGGTCTATTGCAGACTCCGACCCCTCAACAACGCTTTGAAGTATTAGCGATGGATCTGTTCGGTCCACTACCAGCTGAAAGCCAGGGGGAGGTCAAATGGAGAATCGAGGAGCAAGAGGATCGCCAAAAAGCTGTGGAGGGCCAACGCCGACGACCAACAGCAAGGTTTACTTAAAGAAGGTGACCTCGTTTGGGTGGAGATGCACAGTCACAGCAATGCTGAGAAAGGGGTTACCAGGAAATTCGCGCCGCGTAGGGAAAGGCCGTATAAAATTTCAACAGCCGTCTCTCCAACTACTTTTGAGGTGATAGATAAAGAGGGAGAAGTTAAGGGCAAGTACCATGCCAGCGCATTGTCTTTGTATCAAGGGACTTCTACGTCCAGCCAAGTCTCAACCACCTAGTAGTGACTGTGACTTGGAGGGGGAGGATCTAGCGAACGGAATTCAACTATTAAAATATAATGCAACACGGCACCCCCGCCGCACGCGCCGCCCGCCGGCCCGCTATCGTGGACGGGAGGGGTAATTAGTTATGTTCGGGACGCGCATTACATTAGACCACGCTGCTCCTTCTTACGTCGTTGTTTTAGATATATACTTGCATTTTGTTAAAATCTATTCTTCAACCCATGTACAATAATAGTATATAAATTAAAGTGTTAATTACCAGTTTTCGAATATCATTTCCCTTAGCTATACCGGCATATTAAATTTTATAATGGCTTATTGTGTTTCGCTCATCAAGCCCTTTCATTTGACGCCCATATAATATGGGTCACTATGGAAATAATAAATCACCATTTTGTAACGTCCGTCCGTCGTATTGGATTAAATAATGGTGGCGTTTAGGAAACCGTACAGTCACGAGAGTCAAACGTGTGTGCCAAATTTCAGCTTCCGATTAGACAATTGGAAGTGGGTCAAATTTAACTTGTAAGATTTGATTACAGACAGACACCGAGACAGGTGAAACTAATTGAAATCTTGTAATAATTTTTATATTTGTCGACGTAAAACACGTGTTGTGTATATAGACATAAAATAAACCATAAAAAAACTTCACATTGTAGCCAATAACGACTAACTTCACACTGTAGTCAATAACCACTAACTTCTTACTGTAGTCTGAATCTGTCGCATCATAAAAAAATCCCTCTCATCATCCATTTTAATAACGCGCCAAAAGAAGTATAACTTCAAAAATGCTATAAAATACTGTTCAGTTGATTTGGCTAAAACTTTGGTTAATTATATTATTTATGTAGTTTGTAAAGCGATGATGATTGAAAGTTTATTTGGACACAACAAACTCAAAAATTGATAATTTCAGAAAAGACGCTGCCAATGTAAGTTGAGACATCTATATTAGACCAGGGTCGATAATTTTTGAAACAAAAAAAATTATAGTAGGTTGAAACCTATTGTAAAAGGAAGAGAATATAACAAAAATGAAAGGAAAAATAATTTACGGGTGATCTGAGGTCGGTAACTTTGTCGTTTAACTTTTTTCCATAGGACTTGTGGTTTTGCCGGAAATCGAAATAAGCCGTTTTTTACCCTTAAAAACTCACCCCCTCCCACTTCCCGACCTCAGATCACCCATAAATTATTTTTCCTTTCATTTTTGTTATATTCTCTTCCTTTTCCAATTGGTTTTATTCTACTATAATTTTTTTTTCATTTTTTACCAATTTCATCAAAAGCTTTAGCCCTGGTCTATATGGTTAAGCATAATAAACAGCGTTTAGCTTAACCTGGTAACAGCTAAAACACGACTAATCTTATTTTTAAAAAATAATTAGGATTCGGAGCAAAAAAATTAAAATCCATGAAATTGTGAACAAAATCCGCGTAGGTACCTAGGGATGCACCCAAGCGAATCGAGGATAAGTCGTTTACCTATATGGTATTTAAAAAATCTGGTATAATTAAAAGTGTCCGCTAAATAAAAATGGACAATCGGATTTTTTAGTCTTCATGTAGAGTGTAGGGAAAAACATGCATAGGTGACCAGGCAGGCGTGGATCTAAAGTTAAACTTTGGGGGCATCAGAGGCTGAAATATATGTATATAATAAAACAGTAACTTAGCAAAATCTGTACATGAAATATTTTTTAAAAACAATGAGTTTTAAAAAATATAAACCTTAAGTTTTATGGCTTTAAAACTTTAGGAGGTATATAAAGAACCAAAATCCGTAAAACGCCCCCGCTGTCCAGATACTCCCGAGAAATGAGGGAATGTAAAACGAGTTTGAAAAATAGTTTTTTTTTTTTCAATTTCTGGCTTGCTGTGACATACTATCGAAAACATTCTTTACAAAAGTTGTAGGTCTAGTAAAAATCTACGACTTTTACAATAACCTCAAAGTTTTCGACATATTTCCAAAAAAAAAACGTTGATTTTTGTGAAACTAGGGGAATATAATCTTCGAAAATACATATAATATCCATTTTTTTATGAAATTGAAATGTTTAATATTATATTAAAATTTATATTTTATGGTCTCGGGAGGCTTAAAATCATCCCCGACTTCAAGTGGATGTTTACATTTAAAAAAAAACTGTCGTTCAACTTTCAGATAGGGCTCATTTTTTACATTTTGCACTGTACTTTTTGAAGAATTGAAAACATTGTATGGTCGTTCTATAAAAACACCCTTATAGAAAAATTTAATAACAAATAAAAACTTAATTTTCGAATTAGGTACTAAAAAAATAATTTTGTATTATTCCTTGGCTCAGCTCTTGAAACGACATCCTTTAGTAGACTCTTGATTTTTTGAATATGCAAAGTACTTATTATATTGAGTTCTCCCACAAAGTTTCAAGGGGCGGAAACAAATACTTTCGGAGATAAAAAATATCAAAGTTTGATAAATATAACCTCAATTCTGCACTATTTTATGGTTTTTGACGTAATTTGGCAGAAGTGTTGCTATTTTAGAGAGTTTTAATTATGTGTTTTGATTTTGCAAGACAGAAGTGTTGCCATTCTAGAGAGTTTTAATTACGCGTTTTAATTTTGCAAATAATAAGTTGACGCGTATTTTAATTTTTATTTGAAAATTCTCAATATTTTATTTGGTTTAAACAATTTCACAGTTATTTCAGATTTTTTTGGGTCAATAATAACGAAAATTTTGATTTTGTGTAAATCTAAACTTATTTTCGTTTATTTTTGTTACTTATCTAAGGCATCTAAAAGGCCTATTTAATATAAATAAATCATTTATCATTATCACAAATATGTGATAGCAATAAAAGTTGCCCTTAATACATTAAGTCATTAATTTTAACAAGTTAAGTATGAAGTTTGTGGTTAGGTTACAACTTAGGTAATTGTCGTCTAGATCTTGGTTAGGTTAGGTTAGAACAGTTTGGTACCGGAGAAATCCGGCGCGGACCAAATGGCTTGGATGGGGCCGCTCGTCTAGGCCTCGAGCCGAAGACGTTGCGGCCACCGGTGGTGGGACCGCTTGGTCCCACAACCGGATGATGGGTGCCGGTTGCGGGACTGTGGTCGCAGGCCCGCATCCGGCGTAAGGGTAGGCCGCGGCGGGAGAGGAGTGCCGGTATTTCGGTGCGCCGTTCTCCCTACCTTCCGCGGCCTAGACGGGGCCGCCACCGTTTGATGGCGGACGCGGTGGGGCTGCAGGGGAAGAGGAGTGTCGGTGTTTCGTTGCCGCTCTCCCTGTCCTCTGCAGCCGATTGGAGGTGACCCACTTCGGTGGGCGGAGGTTCGGTTTTATGGAGCTGCTCCGGGTACCTCTCTGGTGTAGCAGAGTTAACTGTGGAGCAGCCCCATCGGTGTGGTGGTCAGCCGCAGACCTGCCGCCGGGGCGCCGTAGTAGTTATGCGCAAGCGATCCTGCGGCGTCCCATTAAAGCGGAGGGGAGGGGAATGTCGGGTTTTAGTGGGTAGTACCGGCTCTTCTAGCCGGTGAGCCCCACATCACCACCTGGGGGATCAGGTGGTATGCGTAAATGCATTTCCCGACATAAAAAAAAAAAAGGTTAGAACAGTTAAAACTATGCACGAGCCGAGCGAGCGAAGCGAGCGTGCCGCTGTAGCGGTCGGCGAGTGCCATAAACTGTAAATTTCATGCAAAATCGAAGTATACACTCGACATAACATAACCTCAAAATGAGATTTTTAAAAATTCTTTAAAAAAATATTTTTTCTCTTCCGCCACTTTTCCTTTGCGGGGGGGTGATCTACACCACCCTTCCCACCCCTCTCCCCCCCAAATATATAGTTTTAAGAGGAGGTTGATTCAAGAGTCCTTCCTATTCCTTCTTTCTTAAACTTCAAACTCAAATCGGTACATTACTTTTCGCGTGAAACGCTCACGCAAAAACAGACAAACAGACATACAGGCAAACAGACAAACAGACATTTTTTTAATAACTATTGTTTTGGGGTCTATGTTATGTACATAATAAGTTACAAATAAACAAAAACATCTATCCCACGGGAACAGTACATTTTTCCGGGATAAAAAGTAATCTATTTGTTATTTTGATGTATGAACTATATTATTGTAAAGTTTCATCAAAATCCAATCAGTAGTTTTTGTGTACTAATCTGTATAAGTTGTTATAGTTTTTTAACTATCCCACGGGAACTCTTTAGTTTTCCGGGATGAAAAGTATCTAAAATGTTGCCCGGGGATGTAAGGTACCACCATGCAAAATTTCATTTAAATCGGTCCTACAGATTCGGAGATTAGCCCGTACAAACAGGAAAACAGACAAACAGCTCGCTCGGGTTCGTCCATACCTACGAATATGTTGTATTATCTCTTTAACCATTTGTCCAAATTATATGCAGTAAAAGGGAAAAGTCTTTTGTTTTAAACATTTTAGACGATAAATTTACTTATTTTGATAAGAATTCATAATTGTTGATAATATGACCAATAAACATGACCTACCGATTTAAATATTTTTTTTAATATACAAAACTACTTTTTGTGACTTAAATATAAAAGTTATACATATGCTGTCGCTGACTTTTTGGTAGGCATTATTAAGCTCTACAACTTTTCTCTAGAATGATTAATATATCTCTCATCGTTAAGGCAGCGTTCGTAAGAAACGTTTTCGTTCGACCGTTTTTTCTCCGACTTACTTTGCAAATCGGACTACCACGAAAAAGCCTTTTCATTC